TATTAAGAGGTACACAGACATACAATCAAAGCAAATACTGACATGGTTAATGGCTGGTTTGATTTCTAAGGACTTTTTTTTAAAAAAAGTAATTTTGTATTAGGGAAAGGTATATTATGCACAAGTTTTTATTATTTCCCTGTATACATGAGACTACAAACTCAGAGACTAAATAAAAATATGGAGAAGAATAACTTGGGAGTAAAATACAACAGCAGATGGACGTCAGTCTCCAAGGGAAAGAGCAGAAGCAGAACTAGGATGGACTTTTCAGTTTAGGTGGCAAAACACAACTCACTTCAGGCTGTAACAAATACACAAATACTTAGGGCAGGAGAATATTTGATTAGACTGGAAAGTTCAGGAAGTTGAACTACTTCAGTATTCTGTTCCCTGGCTTCCTGAAGGAGAGGGGACAATGCAATGCAGTCCCTTTACAGTATCCATAACCAGTGCTGGCTGGCCGGCTGCTGGGGAGGAGAAGGAGCACAGCAGGAAGGTGCAGTTAGAGCAGCCTCCTCCCTGTCTTCCACTTCTTCCCAATCAAACACAGAGGCTCTGCAGAAGGCAGTGCCCAGGTTTTGAGAGGTTAAGGGAGGCATGCTGTCCAAGGTAATGCACAGCAAGCTACAAAACAACAAATACCCTGAAATACATATCAGTATGGATTTTAATATTGCATGATGGTACAGGTGATAAAAGTCAGTGCCTTCTTATCTGTCCCACAGCACTGTTGTAAACACAGTACTGGTGATCACCAAAGAAAAGTAATTTTTGTCTGTAGCTGTGCAAACCGAACTGCAGCAGATTGACAGCAGCAGTACACAAGTTTGTTGTCTGAGACATCAGAAGCATCACACAAAATGTAAGGACCACTACACTGGAAAGAATGCTGATTAAATGGGGAATGAGTTTAGGACCAGTCCAAAGCCTGTTTACATCAGCTTCAATCTCAGTATGAAAGGCAAAGAACAAACAGAATAGCAGTTCTCAGATATGAAACCTATAACATCAGCAGAAGGCAAACAGAAAAGGCATCGCAGAAATCATGTCAGCTATTAGGAATTTCTACTTTGTGGAGAATAAAATTAAGTACAAACTCTTTTAATCCAAAGGCTGATAAAGATTGACAAAGTGGTGCTGAGCTGTACTTCCCTTGGTGACAGAAATAAGAATTGTCCTGTAATTGTTTGATTCTGCTTAGAGAGACATTTTAATGAAAGCTAATCAGCAGTGGCTCATGCTGCAGAGTGCTTGTGTGAGGCCTGCACAATACTTTGGACTTCCTATTTTGCTGGCAGCCATTACTAGATGTGTATCCCTTAACATGAACCTGTAATCAGTCCCAGTGCTAGCCGACTGCATCTATCCCTCTTCTGGTCTATTTTAGCTACCTGACCAACATGAACGAAATTCTTCCTTGATCTCTCAATAAGAGAAAACTCTGCAAGCACAGAAAGGTGAAGGAGGTTAAACTGGCATTGATTATTGAAGACACATTAATAATTTATTATTTAGCAGCCTTGACATCAATCTGTTGTGCACATGGCTCTCTCTGCAAAACACCCAACATGTTTTAAATGATTCTAAGCAAACATATTGGAAAACAGAATAAATTTAGGTCTAACATAAGACGAAGATTCCTCTACATGCTGCACTAGAAAGCAACTAGCCTTTATAGAAACCCTGAGAGCCTTCCAATGTCTTTCCCAGTACACATACAATAGTCGTGTTGATATTTTACTTTCAATTTCCTCAAGTAGCAAAGTTGTCATGTTATTCACCTAAGGACAGTGTAGCATTTCTCATCATGGAAGACCCTCTTTTGTCCTTATCAGAAATTACTTTAAACCTAATGTTTTAATTCCGTAATTAAGTTTCTCATTAGACTGTTTTAATACAGAAAAGACATTAAGCAGTTTGCTTTCCAGTTCAAACTGTTCTTTATGAGAAACATTATCTTTACTGCTACCAACTTTATCTTCTACTTGCTTACTAAAACAGTACTCTAAAGCAATTTCTGCTGAAAAATCTGAGTGCTGTATGGGAAAAAAAAAATCAGAGCTCTATCAGAAATATTATCCAAGAATTCAAAGCTATTGCAGGACATGGCATCATCTAAACTTTAGTGATCACCTTGACAGTCAAATTCTCACTGTAATGATGTTATAGCCACTAAATAAAACATTTTAACAACTTCCATTCTGGTAACTGCTCACACACCCAAAACACTTATTCAATACTGTTTATACTTTTTCAGAGCAGTCCACAAAAACAAGAACATTTCCTCTTTGTGAAGCACTGCATTTCCTCCTTCTTCACCCTTTTCTTCCTAAATATAGACTCGCCTCCAGCTTTTTTTCATTACTGTACACCCTACGGACAAAAGGATTAATTCCTCATCTAAGTCAAAGTCAGAACTTCCATTTACTTTTAATGACACATCTAAATGAACTCTAAGGCTAAAGAACTGTCTCAACTACTGGAAGATGTCCAGAAGCAAAAAAAAAACCCAACAAAAACCTAAGCAGTGCTTTATTTTGGGACTAACCCTTCTCAGTTTTTTCAACTGCAAAACAGGTAACTTAAGATTACACAGTGGAACAAAAGAATATATGAGAATATAAACCAAATCACTCATAGAAGCACTGTTTTAAGCATTTCTCATTTATTACACTGTGTAGTGTACATCAATATTTGTACTACATTAATGAAACAATGCTATGCAAATTCCTGGTAGCACTTTTTATCCAACTACTATTAGCCTTTAAATTTGAATAAAGGAAAAATAAAAATGTGAGGACGTCTCTGTTGTTGTTTGGTTTTTTAAATTAAAGCAGCAAATTTGTAGTGATGAAATGAAGTTAAATTTTCTGCTTACCTCTTAAACCAGATCTGAAGTATTCAACGTATACTATTCTCAGAATGTGTAACTAATAGGGTGAAAAATACATCTTGTATTCTCTGATCTGTTTTGTATTTTTCTATTTAATCGAATTTCATATTAGCACAATATTCTTGTAGTTGTACACACATACTGACATCTGAATTAAATGATGTACAGATACTACTTGCAACAGTTACAACTTGTTCTTTAAAATCTCATGCAAAAGCAGAGAATGTAAATGTAATTGCCACTTGGATTCAACAGAAACACAACTGAACTAATCCTTAATAGCTTTCCTTCACAGAAAAGCTGCACAATCTGATAAATAAAAGAGCAAGAAGTTTAAACAGTATTACAAAAAGTGTTAACACTATTTATTTGCACATTCCTCCTCACTGAGTCTCCCTCATTGTGATCATAGCAGGCTTATGTTATTCCTGTAAATTCATTAAAATTTCTCTGCTATCAATCCCTTGCAATGGAATTTTCACAAGAATTCTGTACCACATAAATACAAGTGAAGTGTTGTTCCATTGAAAAACATTCAACATTTCCTTTTATTCCTGCACTGCAACAGACTATGGGATAATGTATGAGATAATACATTATTGACACTGTGACAAGGTAGGAATTTTACCAGGGAAGGCTGAAAATTATGTTCCACTAATTGAAGAGAATAAAGGAAAGGATTTATTTAACCTATTGTTGTTGTTATGACATTTAACACTCAAATCTCAGCCAGAAAATTGAACTTGTTTGGGAGAGGAGGTTCTAAACTTATTTTTTACTCCCCACCAAACTCCAAGGGAACACAGACTGGAAAAAGGGAAAAAATATGTAATCTGCTAACAGCATGAATCCCTGCAGCATGAGTACCACATAGTTGATCTGGGAGAAAACAACCAAAAGCAAAAATCACATCTGCTTAAAAAAAACACCAGGCAAACAACATAACCCAAAAATAAACAAAACAGCACCAAAAATGCCCCAAAATTTACATGTTTCCTGTTTCCATTTTCAGTGGAAGAATTTTATTTGACATCTAATGCACAAGAGAGTATCGTGAAGGATAACTGGTCACAGAAGGAGTGGATATCATATTGCAATATAGAAAAATGTTTTTAAATATTTTTGCAAATTCTGGATTTTTCAGCAGTAACATATACACACCTCAGAGTTTCAGTAAATTCCACCAGATGTGACTTCACAGACACAGTAGAACATAAGGCTTCATTGTTTGTTAACCCACAAAAAAGAAGTTAGTGCAGATAAAACTTTTTGTATTAAAGTGTGAAATTTTGATGTTTCTATTCACAGAAGACAAATCTTTAATGCTCCACTGACACAGAACTAAAAGGAAAATTTCAAAGCCTGCTTTAATTCCAGAGGTCTATCCATAAACTTGAATCAGCATGTTGATCTATACCAACACACAACCATAGCACTACTTTGCAGAAGAGTTTCTTAACAATTATTGTTAGACTTTGCACAAGTCCCAGAATGGAACTGTGCTAAATGTTCAACAAAGATTATTCCAGAGGCTCATGTGAGAATCTCTTACATGTATTCAGGCAACACCACACGCAGACAGAATATTTCCATTTAGAAGGACTGGGGAAATAATATTTCTACAGTTAAGGATTCTTCATTGACTGCATTCTTGCATGAGGACGCATATTATCAACACACATTCTAGGAGAAATTCTGGCACATCCTCTTTAGGAAACAGGATTTTAACATCACTTGGCAAAACTGTACTTATTCCATTATCTTTCAATTTTCAAATCTTGTTTAGACAGCATATGACAATTCTAAACATAATAACCTCATTAACTGTCAGTAAGTGTGCAAATAAATACTGAAAAAAAATTACAAAGCACTAATACATACCATCCACATTCATTTATGCAAATTCTCAGCTCTTCATAAAGCCTAAAATTAACAGGGCATTGGTGTGCTGGCAGGCAGCTGTAATTATCTTCTCATGTTTCTGAAGGTACTTTAGAATCACCAAATCCATGCATGGACACAACAACAGCAGAGGCAAACCAGCTGACAGAAGTCTGAACACCCACAAACATGATAAAAAGTACTGTTTGATACAGCTACTTACATCATGGCCAACGAGTTCTGTCTGCGTGGATTTATCTGCTTGGGAACTGAGAGCCTTCTGAAAGCACTGAGCCTTTTCCTGTAAAACAAAATAACATTGCACAGGTGAGTCATGGTTTTCCTCACTGGGCTTTGCAGCTCCAAACATCCAGATAAATTCAAAACTCATGCATGGGCAGCTGGTAAGAAATAGATTTATTATGGTGCTATTCACACTGGGAGGTTGATTTCCTTCCTATTGTATGCTTTTATAAATTTATCTATCTATCTCTTAAACAGAGGGTGGACTCAGATAGTCCAACTGTGTGCTACGGTGGGGCCCACAAGAAGGATGGCACAGAGGCAGACAGGCACGAAGCACTGAGTAACTGCAGGGACTCAGCAAATACCAGCACCACTCCAACAGCAAAGAAATAATTTACTTGAAAACATTAAGGAATATGCAAACTTGCAGATGACAAGCCTTCTTGAGATGACTTCTGCCTTCCCCGACAGAAACATGTTAGCAAACCCTAAGCATTTCTTGGGTACTGCACTGATTTCTGCTTTTCCCATCCTTGTCCCTCTGTACCTGAATAATTTTTGGAAGTGTGGCATGGCATCTCTGAACAGGCATGAGCAAAGATATCTGACTGCTTTGACACAAAAAAGCCCGGATTCTGATACTTCATTAGAACCTGATCACTAAGCTTGCTGACTCTGATCAAGCCCCTGAGAAGGCTATTTTAGTTTTCACGAGAAGGTACTGGATAAAACAACTCTTAAATATGTGGGGTGAGGCAGGAAAAGGCACACAGGAGGGGAAGGGGAATGCCAAGTTCTTTACTGCATTGATTTATGTTTTCCTGCTTACTGATTCAGTTAAATTTTTCAGTTGTATCTGTAAAAAATGCTTACCTTGAACTCAAATTCCTCAAGATGTACAAAATATTATTGAATGCTACCGACAGGAATGCATTGCAATAAAACAGAATTTGTTTAAATTGAATTTCAAATTAATTGACTCTCAAGTTCTCGTAATATTCGATTCAAGGTAAGGCATGCACATCACTACATTGAGTAAACAGCAGAAAGAAGTCAACCCTTCAGTGATCCTTATCTCCAGTATTTTAACCCTTTAAATAAAGGTTGGGGGAAAACAGAATTCAGACTCATCTCTTCACTTGTACGAAACACTTGAGCCCAAATTTGCTGATGTTAACAAACAAGTTAAAACTGAATTCATAGAAAAGGAAATCCTAGTTCTAACAGAAATGGTTTGTCTTCCTGAGGTTTGAATTTACTAGTCCACTACCCAGCTCACTTTTACATGTTTATAAAAACAGGCATTATGATATATCTACTATCTTATTTTACCACATTTTACTGCTCAGAAGCTCCATGAATTTACAAGTTACAAACACAGATATTGAGTGTTCAAGTAAGATAGCAATTGAAGCAATACCATCATTAAACTGGGTATCTGATCAAATAGAACATTTCTGTTCTTTCTGTATGGATTCACAAATATATATTTTGAAAAAGCAAAGAGAAAAAAAAACCCAGAATAAATCCAAATATTTATTAAGGCAACAAATTAATTTGGAAAGCTAGAAAGGTTGGAATAACAAATATTCTTTCCTTTCCCAGAGCTGCTCTTTTAACTACGTATCTGCAGTGAGATCCATTTTTAACATACCCAAGTTCTGACTCCACATTAACATGGTAATATTTTTTATTTATATTTAGTGAGCTAACTAATAAAATGGGAAAAAGTGAAAATTTCTAGAAGCCCAGGTACTGGAAAAGAAAGTTTGAAACTAAAACTGTCTTCTTTCTTCTCAAGTATATCAAAATAGAAAATGAAAGATCTTTACAAGCCAGGTAGCACGCTTTAATATTGATTCAGAACAAAGAAGAGAGTTACCTGGACATCTATTCACTCAGCAGCCTTCTACTACCCTCACAGCATTACCCCTAAGGATGATTACTATTATCAGGTAACATTTTAAAGCAATTTTTCAAGTTTTTTCAAGCCCTGAAACTTCCTTGAGACCTTCTTGCCATTTTATAAAAGACAAAAATTTTCTTGTTTTAGAGGCTTCCTAGTGAAACTGAATAATTATTGACTTTTTCCATATGTGAACCAGTCCTGCTTTCTGCCCTTCCTCTGTGCATCTGAGAGGAGTCAACTCTCCCTTCTCTAAGATATTACACAGTAAAAAGACTGCAAATAGATCCTTTTAAGAAAAAGGGTAAGGAAAACAAAAGAAAAGGGTAAACAAAACAGGTACCTTTGCCTTTCTAAGGACTAAAAAGGGACCAAGTAATTTATTTAAAAAATATTTTTAGGATCATCCGAAGTACTTCTAGGTGACTTTTTCTAAAGTGAGAGCATTAATGAGCATCTCTTCTTACCATTGTGTGTTGCCATTGCTTCCTATTAAAATAAACAGCACAAAAGTACATTTGTAGGTGACACGGATAAGAGCATGAAAGACTTTTATTCCCTGGGTCCATCCTAATTAGTGAAAAGGCAGGAAGAGCTGATGGCTGCTTTAACAGCAAGACTGCCAGGAACATTCACTGCACCCCTCTCTCTGAAGTGCCTGTGTGTTTTTTGAGGGGAGTGAGAGAAAAACTACATGGAAGGACATCTTCTCAAACACTGCAGTTGCTTCAATTATTGAGATGACTGATTTTGATATTTCAACAACCACAGTGAAAAGCACTAGACTGTGATCAATAAAGATTGTGTTTCTGTCTATTTCTTCACAGGGGAATAAGTTCACACACAGTTTATCTCAAACTAGCTCTGGTACTAGAGTGTCATGGTTTGAATACTTACTATTTTATTACTATGTTTGTAACAAGTCACCAGAAGGCACTGAAATAGGAAGACAATACATATCAGCTGATAACTGATGCAAGTAAAAATCTTACAAATAAACCAGATAAGTGAAATGTAAGATAAAAAAAGTAAGAAATGTAAGACAAAGAAAACAACTTAAGTCTTCCCCGCCAAAAGGCAGATAGGAAAAAAGTAGTCACTCACTTAGATTTAGGGAGTCAGCAGGAGTTGATATTGATACATCTTGAAACATGACATTGGTTTTCTAAAACATTTCTTCTCTGAACAGGAGAGTATCAAAACAATTTTCACAGTTTTGACTGCAAACATGTCGAAGTTATTTTTTGTGACTGTTTTCTTATTCCATTCCCTACCAGTGACAGCATGGTGACCACTTGTGGTGCTTTGTTTAATTGCAAATTCCAAATAAAATTCCAAAGAGAAAATGCTTGACAATTATTTCAAATGGTCACATTAAATCAAGGAGCAAATCTTAGTGCTCCAGCTAATTAAAAGGAAAATTCTACTGTCCAGTAGAGCTGTGGCTTTAATCCTCATAGATTATATTTTGTCTAGTAGATAGCATATTAAATATTTTTTTCCTAATGGCTGTTTCACCTATATCGTTACTTAGTTTAAAACTACATAAAATACCATAAATTAACTTTTTACCTCTGTCTGCTACAGATTGTTCTAAGACTTTATGAAAATAAAAGTGGTGTTTTAATGTTTTGCCTCAGCATACATCCAGAACAGCCTCCAACAACCACTAACACTGCAGTCAGATTTACAATTTACTTGTGATTATTTCTCTTAACTCAGGCATTAACCCCACTGAGAATAACAACTTATGTTCACCACAGAACTGGGGAGAAAAAGCTGTTCTTCAGAAGACTTATAAAAATGCAAAGTCTTTTAATTCTGATGTGCTTTGGGATTAAACTTAATCAACAGCAGCAGTTAGGCAGAGAGCAAAGGGATAGCAAGTAGAAAAAAACCTGCTTTCCACCATCTATTCTACCTAATTTACAGACTACAACGAGCTACAGAATTGACTTTATGACAGCTATTTCCATAGAAATGGAGTCCCTATTGGTTTGAGTCTCAGTTTGGGAAGAAAACATATGATATCCAGCACAGCTCCAGCGATCAGCTGCGGTACAGCTGAATCACATCACACTTGAAAACACTTTGTGAAGCCCAGCAAGAAGCCCAGCTGCCTCTTGAGCACAGCATGTGAAAACAGCTACAACTTGCTTCAGCTGTCCACACATAAATGTACTATGAACTGAGGCGCTACATCGCCACAACAAATTTAGAGGCATTACTCTGGAACCACAGTGACAAACAGGTGTGACCATCCCCACGGGGACTATCCCATTGATCAAGAGAAAAATATGAAAAAACTTGGTGGGAATGCATCCAAGTATGCACAAATGCAGGTTCCACTGAGGGTTATAGTGCTGTCAAAACATTGTAAACAACAAACAACAAAACTACACAGAATCTCAAAGAACATTCCACTGCTTTCACACAGGAGCCTTACACAAACCAAAATCGTTTTTCAGTTTTTACATTATGAGACTTTTGTAAAACACAAGGCAAATTTCTGTGCATATGGTAAATATGCCATCTGCAATGAAAGACAGCACACCTGCTTTGATTTCCATCAGATCAGGATATCCAGATATGAATCAAGAAGGACTAAGACAAGTCTGTCTCCAAGCAGTTTGCAATACTTCAATAATTATTTACGGCCAAGTATGAACACATCTGATGGAAAAAAGACAGTTTCTAAAAATGCAATCACTTCATAACAGGTCTCTGAAGATCAACAATATTTATCAAGGTTTAAAATCTCTGACAGAGTTACAAGTCCTGCTGTAGACATGCCAGCTAACCTAACAGTACTGCAAAGGTTTACTAGATCCTAACCAGAGAGAATTATTACTATTTTAAGTTTTGAAACCCTTATAATCCCAAGTATTGCCTTAAACTTTTCATCCCCAAGTTCTGCAATATAAAAATTCTTCTCTTTTGCTGAGTGCTGTATGACCTTACCAGTAAGAGATGACTCCAAACTTTGAGACCCCAGTCTATGTCTATCTACTCAAAAGAGAAAACACACAAAAAGTCAATCTCCTAGCCTACTGAGCTGACCAATGTCAGAGACAGGAAAACAGTTTTTAAAATGGTATGTTCTGACTCATTTATTTAACTGGAAGGTGCTGTGCTGTAAAATTTGCTAC